ATTTATGTTATGGGCATTGATAAGCAGATGCAACTTCCATTTTGATATATGGACAGTGAAAGTCTTACTGGAAGATATTTATTATTCTACTTAAGAATAAAATTTCGACAATTCTGTTTCTGTGAGTACCTTTCATACCATGTCATGTAATAAACTTGCGGCTCTTTAATTTATTGATTTGATATTTGCGGGAAACGTTTGAAAAATTAAATTCATTACTGAGTGGTCAAATACAAAAGCATTCCGGGGTCAAGCCAATTTTGGTTAGCAAGAGAATTTATTGGCACTTTGAAATTTAAATTGCAAAGGGCCTGGGTCAACTATTCATCGTCAGGTTGAACATATCATCTTTGGACCTACAAAGGCAAACAGTAATGTTAAGTTTTTTAAATATCTTCCCACTTAATTTAATTAAAAGCATAAGTATTTCATATGTGTTATAAAGTAAAATAAAATTAAATTAATTTTAAAGTGACCGAGACAATCACTAGATTTAATTTAGAGATATTCATTAATGATAATTCCATAAATTTAAATAATTTTTCATTGGATTTTGTTCTTCTAACGTGAAATAATGTATTTTATAAAATAAAGGGCACTTATAATTTTTATTAAGAATTTAATATTTAATAATTGTAATATAAATAAATAAACATATAATAAAATTTAAAATTAATTATAATATCTATAATTAATTTTTAATTAATAATCATTATTATATTTTAGAGAACCCAAATCTTTGCATAGCCTTTTAGGCAGAAACCACAAATACTTTTTTATAGAAATAGTCATGCTCAAGTTAAACAAAATTATAATAGATGATAAAGATATGTCTCCTCATATTTCACATTTTATATTTATTGTTGAATACTTTCATTTTACATAAAAGGATTTACACATTTGTGAATATAACATATATATATATATATATATATATATATATATATATCACTAATCTTAATTATTTGTCAACATGGATAAATGTTTATTTATAAAATTTTATGCTATTAAAATTAATTGTCTGTGACATATTTTTATTGTGTTCGATTGTATCATCAGTCTTGTATTTTATTTTTAAAATTTATTTATTACCTATGATTTTACAATTGTTGGAAGTGTTATTACTTATTATGGAATCTAGTTCACTTTTAATTGCTTCTTTCTAAAAGATAGAGTGTATTGATTTTGTTGCTTCCTCATAGGTATTTGGATCCTCTTATAACATATAGTATATATAATTTTTTTATTTTATCTATATATTTTATTTCTACTAAGAAAGATGTTATAAAATCTGAACTAAAGTTTACTTCAATTCTAATCGTTTTATTCTTCTTGGTTCACATATATCAACATTTTGCACAAGATTGGGTATAGAAATAAAAGTAACAACATCATTCAAAGAATTCAATTTTTTCATAGGAAAAACATGTTCAAAAAAATCAACACCTTGTGATTCTAATATAAAATTATTGTTTAAGCACATGAATCTATAGGCAACACTATCTTGGCATAACCAATAAAAACAATATCAATTGTTTTAGAACCAATATTTATATTCTTTTGAGACTTGGTGTAGTCCAACTTTAGCCAATCACCCCCACATTTTTAAGAAATTAAGGTTGGGAGGATGACATTTTCATAACTCATAAGGAGTTTTATCTAATTTTTATGAGGGACTTTGTTAAGTATATAACATGCAGCTAAAATAGCTTCCCCACATATAGATAGGCATACCAAAATGAGTTATCATGGCATTCATCATATTTTAAGAGTTATTTTTCCTTTCATTTATTTTATTTCGTTGTGGTCTGTAAGGTGCAATAAACTCATGTAATATGTCATTCTTTTCACAAAATTCACCATCCCTATTTGATCTCAACCTTTTTATTTTTTGAATTATAGGAGAAAAAAATTAGTGTTGTGGAAAAAACCATTGCCCTAAAAGTAAATTTTTTGTGGACCTCCCAATGCAACCTAATAACTAATTTGTTCCCTAAGATTTACACAACAATGTGTTCAAACTCATACACTCAAGGTCAAACACACTAGAGTCTTATAATTAAACAATGCCCAAAAAATTATAAAGAGAAAACTGAATAATAAAGAATAATTTTTTTTATCTAAAGTGTGATGTTTGTACCCTTTTATAGAGCAAAATATTAGATTGTTGACATTTCATTAAGGATAGTCAAATGCTATCAAAAACAATATTATGAATACTCTTGAATGACTATTAAAGCCACAGCCAAAGAATTAAAGTAAATCAAATGTTGCCAATAAACATAAAACTAAAGGCCATTATGATTAAACGGAAAAAAAAAGATTAATTGCGATTAAGAATAACTTATGTTCTCTATCACAATCGCACCCAATTACAACCACTCATGGTGTTTGGTACTGCATTAATACAGTCACAACTGTAAAAAAAAAAAAAAAAACTAATTTCATGCATTATCATTAACATACATTTTTATGAATTCCAATTAATCAAAACATATAATTGCACGATTAAGCATTACACAACCATTATTTAACATGCTAAATTTGTTACATGTTGTGCATCAAAGGTTTCTACACACACAGATCTCCACATTAAGAAGATATTGTCCACTTTGGACTAAGTCTTTATGATTTTACTTGTTCTAAAGATGTAGGACTTTGATTATATCCCAACAATTTTTCCCTCAAATAAAGGACCATACCCATTTGTAGCAAAAGCTAATCCACGAGTATATTCAATGGTGGTGCATAGAGCTCAGTCATGCTCTATGTATGTGCATCGCTACTCCATCGTTAATTCATGATAGCGTGACATGCCTTTTAACTCTCTATGTTAATAGGATGATTTTCTTTCATATATGAGCTTACCATTAGGAAGACTTTCAATATAAGGGATCATAAACCTAGATCCACCTACCAACCATCATACTTGCTTAGATGGTCATTTGGTCAAACAAACAACTCTAATACCACTTGTTGTACATAAGAGATTTCCACATACACACACGACTCCACATTAGTAATTAAGATTTTGGTCATCACACAAAAAACTTTTAACTAATGGAGACATATGTTTGTATAAACTCATGTTCATTTTTATGTTTTAAGGATATGAAACTTTGATTGCATCTCAAAATTACTTCACACTAATCCAATTTATTCAATCCTTAAGGTTCCCATGGGAAACCATAGGCATTCATTGATTCATAGTTACAGGTATTAGTAGGGATTGCAAGCATGACTACTCATCTAAATACTTAAAGCACACAAGGACAATATACAACATAGTTTCACACATTATAATTTTGGAGTTTTCCCCTCATACATTATACATAGATAAGTCTACGAAATGATAAAACCGTAACACGTCTCAAATTAATGTTGATATTTTAAGCTACAAAAAGTAATTAAACATAAACTAAACTAAAATATCATAATATCATAAATTATAAAATAAATTAAAAATGATATTTAAAAATTAAATTAGACAACAGGTTAATCTACCGTGCCTCACCATTTGACTTAGTGAGTTGAGAAATTAGAAAGACGGGTCAAACAAGCTAAAATGTTTATCACCTATCAATTTTTAGTTAATTAGATGACCCATAGACAAGACATGTGTTGAATAGCATCCAAAGCATGAATGATTGTTTTCTTTTGAGGTAATTTTTTTTTTTTACAACTTAATTTGTTTTGGATCACGTGTTACTTCCTTTTAATTTGTGGCTGTTAAATTGTATAGATTTGAGTATCCAAATCCCTTCTCTTTAGAAGAAATATATTCTGTGAAGAATTATTTGGGAGGTTACTTAATTTATAACTACTACCACAGCTCCTAATTAGAATGTACTGTATCATATGTATTTAAATTCATAATGTACATATAAATATGTAAACAAAAAAATGTACAGCATAATATTTAAATGTTAGTAAATATTGAGTTCGGTGAATTCATTATTTACTTAGGCTTTGAAAGTGGTGTTGTGTAAATAATAGTGTATATTACTATGAAATATATTGTGAAACCGGCTATAAAAATGTAGTTTTGTGATTTATTATATATATGTATTAAGGAAAGCGTTTGTTAATTTCTATGCAATTTAAAATAATAAAAAATACATTGTTTTTATGAACATAAAAACCTGCATTTATTGTGTCTATAACCAGTGTACTTTTTAATCGAATTTGAAATTCATTTACAAAGCACACATTTTCTATGTTGACTGATTGTGATATATCCCCTGTAAATGATCTAATAGTTGTTGTTTAAAGTATTCTTTGTACCAGTGATTTATTGAATAAATCATTGAAATAATGATATTCTAAATTTAATAAAAACAAAAATTGAACAGAAAAAGGATGAAGAGAATGGAAATGAATTGCTAAAAGTGAAAAGTTAAAGAAATTAGAGAATAATGAGAAATAACTTTGAGTTTGAGCTTATAAAAAATTGTTATTAAGGAATTAAAAATAATAACCTCATAGGTTAAACACCACGCTCCCAATTAAACCACTCCAAAGAGTCACTTAACACAAATATACTAAAATGTTTAATGGAGTGTAACGTAATATATCTTGCATAAACGAAACTTTAAATCATCAATCTAGCTATCATATTCACTGTATTTTCAACAACTTGAATTATTCTTTTACATTCTATTTTCTTTTTACACTCAAGTTACATTTTTTATTTCTCTTCCTCCCACCACCTGCCACCCCCAATATTACCCATAGCAGTATTTTATTTTCTCACCTTTCTTCTTATCTCTCTTTACTTCAAGGTGCATACGTGTCAAGCTATCATTTTTCTGCATTGAAACTTGAAAGTGTGAGCTAAGATCCAGCAGAAGGCTATAAATGATCGCAATAGATATTTGTCAAAGGCCATGGAGGCATGGATGAGAGAGTATGGGACAAAGGGCTCACAAAAAATCAGAAAATCATTAGATAATCTGTGTGCCATTAAGATTACATATATATTTCATTAATTTTGACATAGTTTCGAAACATATATATACGTTTCCTTTTGAAATGATCAAAGTAGAAAATTAAGGACACAAGTGAATTAGAACCTAAAAAAGGTATGATGTTTAAATCGATAAAATAAAGAGTTTTGAAGTATTTTCTCCAAGCCTAGGTAGGAGAAAGGAATTAAACAAGAAATAGAGTAAGAGAGGAAAAAGAAACTAGGAATCCCATATGGGACCGAAGGCTGCAATTCCAACTTGTTTGCATGCATTCACAACATCTCTGCTTCCTTCTGGATTACTGGTGACAATGACCACTTCAACACCCCAATTCTTTGCAGCGGAGACACTCAAATGAGAGACGTTTGGCCTACCCAGCACAGCAGTATCATGGAGTATGACCTTCTCTTTTGGGTACCCACTTACCATTTCTTTAATTTCCTTACCGAAGTTTTGTTCAATCCCCTTAGCCACCCAAAGTAAGTAAACATCCGCTTTACATGGCTGCAAAAGGAAGGAAAGAAAGACACAAATTCCTGAGCCAGTGGCCACCAACAAGACCTTCCCATACATGTTCACCAAATAAGGGAGGCCAGCGAAGTGCACTTGGCGAACCCACAAATGGGTTGGTGGGTTTGAGACCAAAGACTTTGTGAAGTCACCAACTGCACCAGCCAGCATCATGTGCTCTTTCTTCCCATCTGATATTATTCCAAAGGCATGCCACTCAGACAGTGGAGAGGGGCTTATCCTTCCAAGTATCCCAGCCTTTATTCCTCCCTCAAACCTTATCATCGAAGCATGCCCAGAAGCACTTGACACTTTCACACCCACACGTCTCACTGTCAACCATGGCATTATTATAAGAACCGTGATGCCCACCGTGACCCAAAACTCTTGGCTTTTCACCACCCTTGATCCGAGTTCTTTTGAGTAGGATCTGCTTTTAGGGTCATAAGAGATTGTGAGCATGATGAAGGCCCAAAGGAGACACAAGGCCATCCATCCTGCAAAACGATGTGTCCTCTCGAACACATTGTGGTGGAGATGCCGAACAAGTGGGAATGCAGCCAAAGATGTGAGACAAAGAAGGGCAAGAATGGAAGAGGAGACACCGATAATCAACGTTGAAGTGTTGTCTCTATCTTTAAGAGTGAGGACTAGTGCGTACACCAGCCATGCAATTGAAGACACGCCACAACCACTGTGTATGCCTCCAAGGCTTTGTAGAAGAGAAGTTGTAGCTGTTTTGAGGAAGAGAGGGACCCATGACCTCCCAAGAGTCTTCACTGCGACCCAAAACACAACACGCAAGAAGGCCTCGCTTCGACAGAGAGTCAAAGCGAGTATGTTACCAATGGAGAACAAAGCAGCCCTGTTCCTTGCATAGGGAAAATGCCCTGTGCTTGCAAGAACCAAGCCAGTAACGTTCAGGGCCAAGCACATAACGAAAAGTCGCTTGTAGACCGTGAACAAGCCTTGATCTAAAAGTATGACAGAAACTCTTGATTCGTTTTTTCTAGCAGGCTTGGACGGTTGCTGAGACTTGCTGTTAGCGTTGTGCACAGCAAGTTGGGGCAGTGGGTTTTGTTTCTCTACGTCGTAGTTTTCTAGAGGGATGCTTTCAGCTGGAGCATCTTCTTGGTCTTCATCTTCAAGGTCACAGAAATGGCTACTGGCGCTGCTGAAGGATCTTTCTGTTGAAGAAGGGAAGACTCTGGAAGTGTCAAAAGGCCAAAAACGTTTGCTTTCTGAGAGGTGTTGGGGTGGTGCAGTTGTTATGGCGAAGGGATCAGCGTGAGGTTTCACCTCAAAGGCCACGCCTCGGCAGCTTGAGAATCTCACCGAACTTTGCATGATTATTGGATGACCTCTCGAAGAGAAAAGGTTGATCAATTTTTGCAATTGCCAGTCCAAAAGAAATTGGAATTTGGAAGGAAAGGGTTCTTAATGAAATCCTTACTTCTACTGTGTGTTGCCTCTTCGTGAATTAGATCTTACTATATACCCATTATTAACCATACCGCTGACGTTGTATCCTTGGTCAATCAATACGTACTACTTTCCAATTTGAACATGTCAACTATATTCTATAAATTTTTTTGTCAAAGAACGTCTTGAGAAACAGAATGAGCTCAACCCGACTAAAGAATGAGTTGAATCCGATTTCTATATTTTGTAAAATTTCTTTCTTATTAATCTCTCCAAAATTTTGTTTTTAATTCATATATAAATTAGTTTTAATTTGTAAAAATTTATTTTTATTTTTTTCTTATTTTTTCTCCTAAATATATTTGTGGAACAATTTATTCAAACAGATTTATTGTTTCTTGAAAAAAAAAAACCACATTATAGTTAATATTATATATAATTATTTTTTATCTTTATCTTATTTTATTTTACATATACATATACTAAAATATAGTCCAAATTTATCAAAAAAACAGAGAAAAAAACTTATAACATATTATATATATATATATATGATATAACTTACAATTTCTAATCGAACCAAATTAATTTAAGAAAAAGTCTTATAATACTGATAAAAAAAAATTAAATTATTAGCGTATATATATCCTAACATGTACACTTTTACTAATTTTAATTATTATAATTTTACTGTTAGTGAGAGATTTTATCTAAAGAAATTGAATGTAGTTATACTCAAACTAACAATTCATTGGTTACTTCTCCTTGTGCACTTATATTTATAATCGCCTTTCAATTATATATATATATATATATATATATATATATATATATATATATATATATATATATCAGTTGTTTAGTTGTTGTTCTGTAGTGTGTATATATATATATATATATATCAATATATCAGTTGAGCTAATTATTCCAGTCAAAAATAAAAGTGAGCTAATTATTTAGAGCTTGATTAGTGTTTTGTAAGAGTTTCCCCTCTTCAAATAAATATAGAATGACCAATAGACTATAATATGGTCATTTTATTTATGGTTTGAACAAGGTTGTGTAACCGTTGTAAACTTCATTAATTGTACGTGACATGTGTCATTAAACCCAAAAGAGAAAAAAGTGACACGTCATTGCAGTAGCTGTCATTTAAATATTTGTGTCGGTATATTAAAAAGGGAAAATCATCTCTAACACTATAACCGTGTCTGACCTTGGGCTAATCATTTTATTTGTCTTTATTCTCATTATAGACGAGTACATGAGATGATGGGCCTTTTGGTCATAATAAATAATAAAAATAAAAATTTATTAAAAAAATTAATTAAAAAATAATTTATTAAAATAAATTATTTTGATTATGTAGAATCATAGAAATGAAGAAATGTTATCGTATATAAATTATTATATATGAAGAGAGAGAAATATCATTCTATTTGATTTTTTTTTTTAAGGTTTTACGAACTTAAAAATGTCATCCCATTTGACATTTTTTACATGGGTTTACGAAAAAAAAAACGATACCCTATATACATTTTGTGCATAGGTTTAGGAATATGAATTGCATGCAGAAAAAGACTAAAAACGTCATTATAAGTGATGTCCTCTTCATGGAGCCAATCAACTTTAAAATGTTACCAAAATTGACGTTTTGCATGTGGTAGAAAACATCATTTTCACTAACATTTTGTAAGCATCTTTGTCCGTGAAGCTTGAGTCCCATCCGTTGCAGTCCCGCTATACTCAAGTTGCAATGTCGTGAATGTTTAGTCTCCTCTCGATGGCTTCCGTAAACTCTCATTGCATAGCACCATTCATTATTTATTAAAAGTGTCTGAGGTCTTCAATCTTCATATATGTATCCCAGCTCTATATTCTTCTTCATATCTCCATCTCATCTCTTAACATTTTTGTTTTTGTTTCTGTGCATCATTAGTAAAGTCTACTTTCATTTTCAAAATGTCTTTCATTTGCTTACTCTATTATAATGGTAATAGAATTAACAATTAATGATTAAGGTTGCATTTTTATAAGTGATACAAAATCAATTCGTGTAAATCATGGATTGGATTTTGAATCTTTAAAGAAAAAAACTTCATGCAAAGTTGAAATTTCATCATAACCAAATTGTTTCTAGCATCACTTATAGATATTTGCATTCTCTTAATCTTGTTTTTTATCTAGCTGGAAAAATTGAGACGATAAAGATGTTGTGTGCATGCTTGATAGTTTTGAACGGCAAGGTTTATGTGTTCAAATAAATATCTTATTCAATTCAATAACTTTGATATAACTATAACTTAATACTAAATCTTAAACCTTCAATTCAATAAGCTCAAATAAAACTTCAATTTAATAAACTTAAAAAATTTAACAAATTAACCCTAAACACAAATAAAGAGAACACAACAAATAGTTGAAGGATTCAAATGGCAACAATGAATACCATGAATTATAAATTATAGTTCATTACATAATTCAAAGTACTAAAAACAACAAAAATAAAATAGATACAAATGAATAATCTCCTAGGCCTCCATCATGGATTTGTCGGATCATGAGTTGATGAAATACATTGATGGCCACGATGCCTAACACCCCAATCTGGGTTCCTGGATCCTCTTCTTCTACTTCTTCTATAGCGTTTGTCGATTGTTCACCTCCAAAGGCTTGGTTTAGGTCATACCTAAACCAGGTTGTCCAAAAGAAGTACCCCAAAAGAAGTACCACCAAAAGAAGTATCATGCATATGATCTCTGCCATATCTAAATGGATAATATAGTGCTGACAGAGTCATCACGTTCCCTATATAAGCATCTAGAGTGCATCTTGGTGGAGAAAGAACATATGTACTAGATGTAAGTGGTAATTATGTATCAAACGAAGATGAAATGTAAGCAGCAAAACTAGGACTTCAACACTAGTATCACCTGAAGTATATACATACTAACTATAACACCCGGATGGTGTCATTAGATAAGCATAATAACTACCCGCAAGGGGTCATGTGATGGCACAAATACCTCTACAAACCCGTGATCTACAGGCCTGCGTCAATGTCCAAGGCCATGACCCTCTCGTTGGCCCGCCCTAATATTTTCCACAACAACTAGTCCAAGCTTGTCTTGTGATGGTGTGGTGGAGCACCTATAGAGGGATATTGAAGTCGGTCGAATTCACTATATACCGCTAAGTAGTTACCAAGATTATCAATTAGTTCTTCCATTAAAAAATTGCTTCTAACTTCTATTTTGGCCTTATGATACATTTTCTCAATTGTGTCCTCCTATAATTTAAAATTTTGTTAATTTTACATATTCAACTTAATATAAAACACAAATATAAACAACCAAAATAATTAATTATAAAACATTTATCATTATATTTGACTTACCACATAACCTTGTTTTGTAGTAATGCGCCCAATCCAACATCTAGTGTGTCTTTTATATCACACCATGTACTCTGAGTTACTACTTAAACATGTAGTAGTACAAGTTTTTTGTATCCAAACACGGTCTAACCTTATTTTCCACTCGTGTACAAAGACAACATACTGAACTCGCCAATCAATATCATCTTTACCACGTAAAGTTAGATCGTGCAAATTATATGGTCGACGTGGAGGACGAGGAATGTGTTGTACCATGCCAAACTAACGCATCACACGCGGTCAGGATAGTGATACTCAATTATATGAAAGTCTATTGAGGGCACTACCGCCCTCCAAATATTTATGTTTTCTACACAATATAAGAGAATGAAAATATTGAAGGTATGGCTGTCAAACAAATTGCATACAAAAAACATAAAAAGTCATAAATAAATACTAATTTTAAGATATACACTTTAAAATTGTAAACAACAAAATAGTATGTATCCTAAACCTTAAACTAAATTATGCCAAGATATCTTACACTCATAACTACAAGACCTTGAACTCCCACGATAATCTACCATATAACTTACTGTCGATAAATTTACTTAACACCTGTAATCCCTTCACAGGTTCAACCAGATTCATTACTACTAGAATTTCTCTTATTACATGCGACTTTTCCTGCTAATTTTTTATAAAAATTTGCAGGAAATGTTGTTTCTACAAATTTTTCTGTTAAGATTGTAGATTATAAGCTTAACACTCAACCATAAAATCAACTTGTAAGGTAAGTGTTGTCCCAACTTATATACTCTTTAATTGTTTTATTTTCAATCGATGTGGGACTTGAAGTTGTTTTAAAATATTAAACTTATAAATTTAAAAAAATATATATTTTTCCTGCGGATTAATTAAAATTTGCAGGAAAATCTGCAGGAAAAGTTACCTGCAAAATTTTTCTATTATTTAGTAAACACATTACTTGCAAATTTATTTTTGCAAGAAAATATGCAAGAAACAAAATAAATTCTTACAATATTTTCTGCAAATTTTAACCAAGAAAAAAATTTCTATGATTACTAAAATTGTAGCAAAATTTGTAAGAAATATCTGTAAATTATTTTTCACAAATAAATTCGCAAAAAATTTCTGCGAATATTTTTTTGCAGAAAAATAACACTTTTCTAGTAGTGCATTGACCACTGATAAAAAGAAAATGAAAAATTATTCGTCATGTTTGGCAACCATATCCAAAAATACCTGAAATTGATTAAATCAAATACATACTCTTCATTTTTAAAAAATATATTAATTTTATACAACTATATTGGACCAAATGTATTCAAACCATGTACAAATCACCATGGTGTGTGAAGTTTCTTTCCATATAATCCACGCGTATGTTCAAGAAAGGGGGCTTTAAACTCCATGGTAGCACTGCCCATAGCAAAAATATTTCCAAATGGTTGACCGTCAAAAAACACTGTTGCATTGCTCGGCCATCCATGCTTGTCTCAAGAACAAATGAAGGAAAATCAGTTTGAATTATATATAAAATATATATTTAATTTCATATAAAAATTATTAATTGATAGAGACGACTATTCTTCTATTTATTACCGATGAAAGCGCCTTGTTATTATTACTAATATTATAAAGTCAACAAAATGCATAAATACAATTTTAGCGAACTAATTCCTTGTAAACGTAGTATTAATTATATTGTTCACTTCATTGTAAATCTACTTTTCCTTCGAACTAAAATTTGGTAAGCAGAAAACTATTTGGTATAGAAAACATTAAGTCAAGCTTATGAAGTGGTAATTAGACTAATAAGTCCTAAATCCTAACGTTATCAGAATGACCTAACCAAAATATAGACTCATGATCATGTATAAAAATGCAATGAGCTTGGTGCAAATGGCTTAAAAAATACATCATTTTAAGACAAAGTCATGGTATGCAGCCTTTAGTTTCCTGCTTTAATAGCATAGCAAGACTTTATTTTTGCGGATGTAATGACTTCTCCATTTCATTCTTCATATAGAATATATATTACTAGCTACTTTGTCCATACTATAGTGTATCCTAATAATGACGAAAAATGGCTTTTCGACCAGCATCATCAACAACGTCAAATTTAGGGCATTCATTTCGAATGTAGTTAAATAAAAGTGAAATATATAGTCAGCCTAGTTTTAAAATTAATCTTCATATATATAACCTAGGACAGATTTGCTTGGCGGAGTTTAATAAATAATTGCAACAAAAAGAAAAACTATATGCAGTATAAAAAGTCAATTCATGGAGTGTTTAGTTTAGCTCCTTTTTCTTTTTTAATTTATCTTATTCTTAAGGCTCTTAAAAATAAGTAATTTATTTCATAGAACAAAATTTAAAAGAAAATACTTTTAATTGAGTTAGTAGGAGAAATTAATCTTTTCACAGCTTATAAGAAATGTATTCTCTTTTAAATTTCAACTCAACCAGCTAAAATACTTTCCTTTTTATTTTTCACTAACTTTTTTAATTTCAGTACCTCACTGACTTTCCTATTTAAATAATTCTAATTGGTTTAAATTTATTTTAATTTATTTTTAAATTAACATTATTGAAGTGAAAAAACATATATACAGTTAAATAAATTTTTAATATTTATAATTTTCATTATTTTAATTTAGTTTGGATTTAATTTTTTTTAACTTGTTATATATTTTGTGGTTAAGTTTTTTAATTCTTAAGTACAATGATATATTTTATAAATAAAAAATATTCATTTATTAAATAAATTATATTTGATATTATTGAATTCTGTTTTAAAAAATATTTTTTTATCTTGTAAACATATTATCAAAAAATATATAATATTTTAAAATTTTTAATTAATATTATATATAATAAATTATTTTTAAATCATATTTAAAACTAAAAATATTAATTAAAATAATTTTAGACATTTTTTAAATTTATTAATTTTAATTCCTTTATGTATTTTTTATCATTACAAATTATGTTGATTAAATTAATTCTAGTAATATTTTCTTATAAATATATTTTCGCATTGAGTCAGGAAATTATTTTAAATAAATTTTACATTTTTTATCAAAAAAAATTAGTTTAAAATTATTCTTGAAACCTAAAAAAAAAAAATATATTATCAAACCTTATCTACAAATTTATATACACGGGTAATTATTCCCGCAGCATAAAATTAATTTTTTGGGTCTGTATATTTTAATTTGAATCACGAGTTGACTCTGTTCCTTTGAGAACTTGCATTTAATTCTTGTAAGGTTGATTATGTTGCCATTAATTTGGAGAATGAAGGTGAAATTCGCTTAGCTCCGAATGCGCTCATATTTCGTGTGGTCAATATTGGGCTTTCGTGTTGAATCATTCCCAGGAGTTAGGAGTTAGGAGTGATTTGTGATTTTTGAAGCAGCCGCCATTCGTGAATGTGTAAGCATATCGTCAAAAGGCCCCTTTTTTCAAATATGAATAATTATGTCTAATTTTTGAGTCTGGTCCGTTAAGTTCGTGGACTTGACGGATTTAATTCGCAGGCTCGCGGGCTAGTCCGTGGACTTCACATTTAATATTTTTAAATATTATGATTTTAATATAAGTTGTGTATTTAGTTTTTTAAAATTATTAAGACATTAAAATTATGTTTAGTTAGTATATATTTGTCATTTGAATTATTTTTATGACATTTTGATGTTTTTATTATTGAAAGTTTTGTACTATTATTTAAGTATTTGTAATTATTTTTATTTTAATATTTTAATATTTAGTATTTTAAACCATTTTAATTATTGATAAATTTTAGTATGATAAAATTTAGCTTATAAATAAAAAATATTTTTTTTCTTCTAATTTTATGTATTTTTATTTTTAAAAATTTATTTTTTTGAACTATTATTTAAGCCCGCAAACCAGTCCGTTATCCGCGGATTTTGATGGACCGGATACGGACTTAAAAAATAAGTCCATTTATTTTACGGAACAGACTTATCCAGCCTGTATAAAACGTGAATTTTACGGACCGGACCTTAAACAGGCCGAACCTTAAACAGGCCGGACCGGTCCGTATACCCACCCCTAGATATTGATATGTGTTTTCAAACTAAGCAGCTACAACATCTATTTTAATGTATGAAATGTCAAGGTCTGCCATGTCTGTATCTAGAAATTTAGGACCTATGACAATTTTAGAGAGAATCAATATAATACAAACTGGCGATTCTCATATCAATTTCTTAACTTTTTGTGCAACAAAAATTATTTATCAAAGTTTTTAAATTAATACATTCTAGGATTTCAATCTTAATAGATAAGATCATGTTTGTTAAAGATAAAATTCAAGGATAAGTTTTTTTAAGTA